TATCTCTTGGGTTGGATGGCAGTTACAACGGTGACTATTCTAAAATAATTCACCTGAATTAATAAAAGAAGAAATGGAAGAAAAAAAATGAAAAAAAAAGGAAAAAAAAGCAACAGGAGATCCATGGCAGGGGCTGTGCATAGGTTGTGTCTACACAATCAGAAAAAGGCTGATTTAAGACTCTCAGGCACTTACTTTCCAGCTCCAAAGAAACCTGAAAGAGTATCAAAGCAGAGGTCAACAGCAGGTCTTTGGTAGAAAGTGTTCTATTTCCCCAAGATCTCTGTATGTTCAGATTTTTTGTCACGGTATTTTTGCAAGACTAGGTTACAGCACTCACTATAGATCCCACAATCAAAAAATGGAAAAACTGCCCTAGGAAAATTATACTTTATACTGACATGAAGAAAAGAATTTACCTCCATGTCCCATCATCTCATGTAAAAAAATCCAAGAAGTTGAAATTGAAATGTTTCCAATGACTTTATTTTATTCTATTGTTTCTTTCTTTCTATACCCCTAACTTCTATAACAATAAAATAGCTTTGGCATGGCAATATATTGTTATGTATTCTATAACAATATATGAAAGTATAATTTGATGAAATGGCAATTCTGAAGCCTGAAGCAACTACAAATGCTTAACAGAAGCCAGGAGAAGATGGGAGAGGAGGAAGCCAATTTCTTGAATTGAATTTAAAACCATGCTGCGGTGTTACTCTTCTGCTGCTCCCCACAGCATTACTTGGACATGAATCCTCTCACTGTGGAAGGTAACAGGGGCACAGTCAGTAAACAGCATGCTCTGTCTACTACAGTCTCATGGGGACCCTCGGGGGTCTTTTCACTATGCTTGCTGCCTTCTACTCCTGAGGAAGTCTGGACAGGAGTTAGGGAGAAGGAAGAAAAGAGCATCTATCATCTATTTTAGCAATGAAGCACATATGCAGGATCTTAACAAGTGTCCAGTTCGTTATCTACTGTAGGTTCAAACCGATCGAGGGAGAACTGGCTAGGTCAGCAGACAGGGTGGCCTTCCTCCCCGGTGTGTGCTGTGACCCCAGGCCTCCCTGACCCAGCCTCTCTCCACCTGAGTCTGAATGGGATGGAGCTGCTGAGGCCAACACGAGAAGCCCTCGCCCCAACTCTCAAGTGTTCAGCTGAACCTGGAGCTCCAACCTCAGGGCCATAATGAAGTTTGCTTTGCCAGGAAAAAAAGGGGGGGGGCAGAGATCTAGGAGGTATCCTACAAAGGAGTCACAGTCCTACAAAAGGCCCGGGGCCGCATTTCTGGTCTCCTGGATAACAGCATGCAAGCTCTCCTGGACCAGAAGAGACACTCCTCCAGATACTCCAGGAATTCTCTCCTGCTCCTCCGTGCCAATCACTCCCTTTTAATCTCTCACTCCCACACTCCAATGCTAGCCCTTTGTTCTCTTCTAGTTGGCCTCCAGACAGAGATTTCAATCAGTCTCTTCTCCGTCTGGTTCTTTCACTGCTTAGGCAAAAATGATCCTTTTATTCTCCGTGGTGGTCTGACCTTCAAGTAGGATACGCAAAAAACAACCAAGCAACCCTGTAGCAGGAAAGATAATCCCCTGCTGGCATACCTCTTCAACCTTATTCTGCTAAAGCAGAAGCTTTTCCTTTTCCAGCTTTGAGTAACTGTATGAAAAACTTCCATGCACTGCTTTACCCTTAACTTCTGGGGGAAAAGGTGGGGTCACCAAAGAGCTAATGCAAGGGGAATCAGTGTGTTTACAACTAGTAAATTTTCAAATTTATATCATATACATTTACATATATAAGCCTAACACACCTTCTGTGTAGACTACTGCTTGAAAAATAATAATGGAAATCCCCAGGTAAACAACACTAAAGGGGGAATTATGAAGAGTAAGGAACCTCTGCTGTAAGAAAAGGTAGGGTGGGTTTCAGAAGCTGGGCTTTAGGAGGTCTCCATGAGACTTCAAGAGAGCATATGGTCACAGAAAGAGTTGTTTCAAAAAGGGCTTTGAAACATCAGCAAGGGTCATGAGCAGAATTCCTATATATGGTAGATGACTGATAAATAGTTGTTGAATGACTGAGGAATTATTAAAAATATACTGATGATACATGCCACAATTCAAATTTTTTTTAAAAAGGTAACTATGTTCTGCAAGGAATCTCATCTTGATTTTGAGCCCATCGAACAAAAACAACCATCTTTGACTTGTCAGTGATTATTACTCAGTCTCCCCCAGTTCTAGCCAGTACTTTTCAGGTATTCTCTCCTCTCAGTTGCTTCAGGATTTGACCTCAGTAAATTAATTACCTCTTTTTCCTCCTTCCTTCTGATGGCCTCCTTGCCAACGACTTTCTAAGTTCTTACAGATTTGAAGCAGAGAGGTTTTGGCAGTAATGTGCTCTGGTCTAGCTTTGCCCTAGCTGGCTCAGCATCCTGCTGAAGTGAGTCTGGTCCTCCCTGTCTCCAATCTGCTCCAGACTCCAGCCACAGAGTCCCACATTCTACAGTCTTCTTGTCCTGACCCTCTGCTCTTACAGTCCTCTTAGCATTTGGGCATCCCCAACAAGTGCCATGAGAAAGGCTGACTCCCCAGATGACACATATATGCCATAGGAACCAGAAGTGCTAGCAAGCACAGACTGATTTGCTTAGACCCTTCTTCAGACATTTCAAAGCAACTGCAGTGAACAGCCCTACACACTGAATATACTGAACGTTCAACTTCATTAAAAGAGGTGCAGTCTTCTCAGGCCATGCCCTGAGAAACAAGGAAGGCCCCCTGTTCTAGATTCCCCAAATCTCCCTGGCCCTCCCTACCATTTCCCTCCTTCCCAAAGACTTGATTGTGAAGGTGGTATAGGAGGATAGATTCAGGAATGAAGACAGTCTCACTTTTGGCTTTTCTCCTCTTTGTTCCTCAGAACCCCTGCACCAGAAGCATTTTTCTTCTCCCCTTTTAACACCATTTATTTGTGTCACTGTTCTCCACTAGTATTATGAGAATATTAATTCCTACTCCCTGGTGGTTGTAAAACTTGAAATAAATAATATGCAAAGCTTTCCTGCCTCTTCAGTGCTTCCTAATTTTTCCCTAAATAGTGAGCTGCCTTAGTCCCAAAATCTGCTTGGACACTTATATGCCCAAACCTAAAGACACATGTCCAGGCTCTCACAGTGAGCCAAACGCAGAATCAGAACTAAAACCCAGGACTAAAAAAAAAAAAATTTTTTAAATAAATAAATACATGCAAACATGCATGCATGCATGCATGCCAGGACTCCGGGTGCTTAACTAAACTTCTCAAAATTTTCCACAACAAAAACTGCTTCCTAAAAGATGTTTTAAAAGAAAAGCGGAAACGTGTTTATTCTTTCAGGAAACACATCTACTGAGAATCTGGTATATGAAGCACACTGCTCATTACTGGGGGAAAAAGAAAGTAGTAGGGCAATGAGGGGTCAAATTCACAAAGATGAAAAGGCACTTTTGTGTGCTCAAGAGAACTCTGAGCATTTGCTATTGCTTGAGCATTCTAGTGAGATTCCAGGCTGGAGAGATAACAGATGTAAGCAGGGGGAGCCTTAAAGCTGCCCTAACGAGCTCTAACTTGGGTAGAAGGGGAAATGCTTAATACTTGCAATATACCACTCTGGTGACAGTGCAGAGAATGCTCTGAGGACAAGATTAGAGATGAAGAAACCACATAATAGCTGTTGTAGTAACCCAGGTCAGGTATTATATGGGTTACAGTGAGTAGGAATAGGCATAAAGAGAGGAGAGAGGGTGGGAAAGACACAAAGAGGAAAAGATTGTTTTAAAGTGGGTCAAATGGGTAGTACTGTTTTTATTTTTTCTTTCTCTGAAGCCATAGTTAAGAGCTTCTTCCCACAAACTGAACTTGTGTAATTAAAGCACATTTTATATTAAAGCATGTTACAGAAAAACATTCCAGGAATCAATGAATATGGAAGTATAAGAACAAATTTTGTGATTAAAAAGGCTTATATTTTCAAACAATTCTTTTACTATATTGGCACATTTAAATTTTGATTTTGGCTTTAGAGTTGGGAAACCTGGATTTAAAGTTTGGTGCAGATATTTTTTTTTAATCACTCTGAGTAGAATTTCACATTTGTGAAATTTAGTATAATTATTAGTCTATCATCAAAGGAGAGTTGGAGGACCAAATGAATTAGCAAATGAAAATAGAGTTCCCCACAAGCAAAGAAAATGTGTCCTATCTAACTTAAGCTTTTCCCAAGTATGGAAACAAGAAACCATCAAAATTCTTCTCCAGAAGCAAGCTAACTTCTATAGCAATATCTGATCTAAACAATGGTTAAACTAAGTACTATTTTAAGCATTGTTCATGGATTATCTGTAATCCTCACAATAATAGCCAGTAAATGGTAGAGCTGGGATTCAAACACAGGCCGTCTGGCACTGACTCATGTGATCTTACCCATTACGCTCACAGCCTCTTAATAATATTATTATATGACTGGAACCAAATTTATATTCAAAAATAAGTACGCTGGGTAGCCCCGGTGGCGCAGTGGTTTAACGCCCCCTGCAGCCAAGGGCGTGATCCTGGAGACCCGGAATCGAGTCCCACATCAGGCTCCCTGCATGGTGCCTGCTTCTCCCTCTGCCTGTGTCTCTGCCTCTCTCTCTCTAGCTGTGTCTCTGCCTCTCTCTATAGCTGTGTCTCTATGAATAAATAAATTAAAAAAAATAAAATAAGTACGCTTTCTGTGTAAAAATAACAACCAAATAAAAGTAAAATGGAAAAATAAGGAGAAAAGATAAAATGTCTACTATGCTTTAAAAGAAGTTTACATGAAGAAAACATTAAGGTACAACTAAAGATGATACCTGTAATAAATTAAAAGATATAACCTATACCTAGATGGACAGATATCAAATCTATGTTAATACATGACCTCTAGAAAAAGAACAACAGCCTACTTTTTTAAGAACTACTTCAACATGCCATCCAGACTAAGGAAGACCCGGAAACTTCCAGGCTACGTGAGCCATGGCCACGGCCGCATCGGCAAGCACCAGAAGCACCCAGGAAGCTGGGATAATGCTGGTGGCATGCATCACCACAGGATCAACTTTGACAAATATCACCCAAGTTACTTTGGAAAAGTTGGTATGAGACATTACCACTTAAAGAGGAACCACAGCTTCTGCCCAACTATCAACCTTGATAAACTGTGGACCCTAGTTGTTGAGCAGACACGGGTAAACGCCACCAAAAACAAGACTGGAGCTGCTCTTATTATTGATGTGGTACGATCAGGCTACTACAGTTTTGGAAAAGTTGGGAAGCTCCCAAAACAGACTGTCATCGTGAAGGCTAAATTCTTCAGTTAGAAGAGCTGAGGAGAAGATAAAGGGTGTGGGGGAGGCGCCTGGGTTTCAGTAGTTTGAAGCCACATAGGGGGAGGTTCATTAAATGCTAACAAGTGCTTTTCAAAAAATTTTTTTAATTTAAAAATAAAAAATATATAGAACTACTCTAATTGACAGTCAAAGCTCATATGGAAAAATAAAAAGGAAAGGAAAACCAAGAAAATTCAGAATAATAGAGGTATTTACAGTAAGATATTGAAACATACTTAAATTTACAGTAAGTAAAAATGCATAATAGTAAAATGTAAATAGATCTACGGACTATCCAGAAGTAGACCCAATTGGAATTTAACATGTGAAAAAAGTGACATTTTAGGATAATGGACAAAAAACGTATAGTTAGTATTCACTAACTGATGTTGGGCTAAAAGGATATACATAAGGACAACTATAATTCAATTGCTATCTTACCTCTTACAACATAAAAATCCCATATGGTGCAAAGATTTAACTATAAAAAGGAAATTAAAAGAAAAATATAAGAAAACACAAAAGAAAATGTTTTATAATGACAGAATGCAAAAACGATTTTTTTGTGCACCTGATCCAAGAAAAGAAAAGAAAAGAAAAGACATTGAAGAAAAGTATGATAAACGTAATCATTTTTTAAATTAATATATAGGGGGAAATCCACCATAATTTAAATCAAAAGAGAAATGAAAAATTGGCCAAAACAATATAGCAACATTTATTATAGATAAATGGCTTATTTCCTTAATATATAAAGCTATTCTATAAATCAATAAGGAAAATATCTAACATTCTAAAAAATTAGTAAATAAGGGATATGAACCACTACTAAAAAGAAATTAGAATGGACTTAAGTATATCTAGAGATGTTTAAATCTATTATACTAATAAAAAGAAAAATTAAAACTATCATTTGATACCTGCACAGTGAAAAAAAAAAAAAACATTAAAACCAAAATGCAACCTACTGAATAGAAGAAGTTATTTGCAAATCATACATCCAATAAGGGGTAAATATCCAAAATATTTAAATAACTTTACATCAATAAACAAACAACCTAATTAAAAAATAGAGAATAAATAGATATTTTTCAAAAAAAGACATAAAGAGGCCATCAGGCACATGAAAAGATGGTCAACGTCTCTAATCATCAGGGACATAAAATCAAAACCACAATAAGGTATTACCTGTCAGATTGGCTATTGTCAAAAAGACAATAGGGTCCTGGGATTGAGCCCTGTTTTGGGCTCCCTGATCACTGGGAAGTCTGCTTCTCCCTTTCCCTCTCTGCCCCTTCCCCTGATCATGCTCCTTCTCCCCCCAATATAAATAAATATTTAAAAATATATACATATATAACCACCATATGATAGGATAATACCACTTCTAGGTATTTATCCAAAGAAAACAAAACCAACTCAAAGATATATATGCATCCCTATGTTCATCACAGCATTATATACACAATCAACATACAGAAGCAACCTAAGCATCCATACATAGATAAATGGATAGACAAGATGTGGTGCATATATATATACATATATATATATGCACATATATATACACATATACATGGTGGAATATTATTCCATTGTAAAAAAAAAAAACAATGAAATCTTGCCATTAGCAGCAAAAGGGATATACGTAACATAGAGGATATTATGCTAGATGAAATAAGTCAGAGAGAGACAAATATCATACTTTGTATGTACACTCTAAAAAACAAATGAACAAACAAAACAAAACAGAAAGAGACTCACAGATACAGAAATCGACTGTTGGTTACCAGAGGTAGGAAGGTTTATGTGAATGGGAGAAACAAAAGAAAGGGACTAAAAGGTACAAAATTCCAATTATAAAATAAATAAGTCACAGGGATATAATGCACAACATAGGGAATACAGTCAATAATATTGTAATAACTTTGTATAGTGACAGACGGTAACTACATTTATACTGGGGATCATTTCATTATGTATAAAAAAATCAAACTTCCATGATGTACATCTGAAACTAATAGCATTTTGTATGTCAACTGTACTTCCGTAAAGTGGGCCTAATAGCAGCCCCTTGATCACAAAACTGTTGTGTGAATGAACATATAAGGCAAAGACAGCTTGCTGATCACCAAATACACTTCCTCTTTTTCCTTTTTTTTTTTAAGATTTATTTATTCATGAGAGACAGAGAGAGAGAGAGAGAGAGAAGCAGAGACACAGGCAGAGGGAGAAGCAGGCTTCATGCAGGGAGCCTGACATGGGACTCGATCCCGGGTCTCCAGGATCCCGCCCTGGACTGAAGGCAGGGCTAAATGGCTGAGCCACCAGGATCGCCCACCAGTTCCTCTTTTTCCAAGAGCACACTCAATTATACTTGCTAGCCTCTTTTTCCCTAAGATGTAGGGATATACCTGACCTCTAAAAGCCTTTCACATGCCATCCTTTATGCTCTTTGCCCTCTTGCCAGACAGATATTACTGGCCAGCTCAGCCTCAAATACACATATTAAAGATTATAGGGCCTCTTTTAGTTGGGGTCCCTTTAATGACTGATGAGAGCAAAGATTCCCCTCACCACACACACATATTGCTGATTTAGATCACTCTCCTATGGGTCTAAAGAATATCTTTTGGGAGGGGAAGGGCAAGATGGCGGAAGAGTAGGATCCCCAAGTCACCTGTCCCCATCAAATTACCTAGATAACCTTCAAATCATCCTGAAAATCTATGAATTCGGCCTGAGAATGCTACAGGGAGAAAAGTGTGCGCTTCTATCAAGGTAGGAAGACGGGGGAAAAAAAGAAATAAAGAAACAAAAGGCATCCAAGGGGGTGGGGCCCCGCGAGGAGCCGGGCTAAGGCCGGGACGAGTGTATCCAGGACAGGAAGCCCCGTCCTGGAGAAGCAGGAGCTTCACCAATCTTCACGGCGGAAAGGCCTCGCAGGGAGTTAGAGCAGGACCCCAGGAGCGGCGGGGATGCCCTCGGGCTCCCTGGGACACTAACAGACACCTGTGCCCCAGGGAGAGCCCCACACCCCGCAGCCGAGCTCCCTAAAGGGCTGCAGCGCGCACGGCTGGACCCGGGAGCAGCTCGGAGGGGCTCGGGCGGAGGCTCTGTGGGGAGGCGGCTGCGCATCCGGGAGCAGGAATCCAACAGCGCAGGCCTGGGAGCACAGGGCGGAACACACCCCAGGATCTGGCCTCCCCCCAGGACAGGCAGAGGCCAGGAGGGCCCAGGACAGCAAGGACGCTCCTGCCCAGAGCTGAGCAGATCAGTGGCCCCGCCCCAGAGCGTCCAGGCCCTGCGGACTGAGAGCTCCCTAGTTACTGTGGGGGCTGACTCCAGGGCTGCAGAGCTGGCTGCTGCCACTGTGGTTGTTCCTCCTGGGGCCTCACGGGGTACAAACACCCAATGAGCCTCACAGGGGCCTCACCAGATAAACAGGATAAACATCACTCACTGAGCCCTGCACCAGTGCTAACACCTGAAAATCAGCACAACAGGCCCCTCCCCCAAAAGACCAGCCAGAGGACAGGGGAAAAACAGATTATTGACTAAGCAGCACTGGAAAGTTCCAGGGGAAGTCAAGGGACTTACAGTATACAGAATCAGAGGATACTCCCCCTTGTTTTGTTTTGTTTGGTTTTGTTTTTTGCTTTTTGATTTCTGTTTGCTTCCCCCACCCCTTTTTTTTCCTTTCTTTTTTTTTTCCTTTTTTCTTTTTTTCTTCCTTTCTTTTTTTTCCTTTTCTTTCCTTCTTTCTCTTCTTTTTCTCCTTTTCCCAACACAACTTGTTTTTGGCCACTCTGCACTGAGCGAAAGGACTAGAAGGAAAACCTCACCTCAAAAGAAAGAATCCAACAGTCCTCTCTCCCACAGAGTTACAAAATTTGGATTACAATTCAATGTCAGAAAGCCAATTCAGAAGAACTATTATAAAGCTACTGGTGGCTCTAGAAAAAAGCATAAAGGACTCACGAGACTTTATGACTGCAGAATTTAGATCTAATCAGGCAGAAATTAAAAATCAATTGAATGAGATGCAATCCAAACTAGAAGTCTTAACGACAAGGGTTAATGAGGTGGAAGAACGAGTGAGTGACATAGAAGACAAGATGATAGCAAAGAGGGAAACTGAGGAAAAAAGAGACAATTAAAAGACCATGAGGATAGATTAAGGGAAATAAATGACAGTCTGAGGAAGAAAAACCTACATTTAATTGGGGTTCCCGAGGGCGCTGAAAGGGACAGAGGGCCAGAATATGTATTAGAACAAATCCTAGCTGAAAACTTCCCTAATCTGGGAAGGGAAACAGGCATTCAGATCCAGGAAATAGAGAGATCCCCCCTAAAATCAATAAAAACCATTCAACACCTCGACATTTAATAGTGAAGCTTGCAAATTCCAAAGATAAAGAGAAGATCCTTAAAGCAGCAAGAGACAAGAAATCCCTGACTATTATGGAGAGAAGTATTAGGGTAACAGCAGACCTCTCCACAGAGACCTGGCAGGCCAGAAAGGGCTGGTAGGATATATTCAGGGTCCTAAATGAGAAAAACATGCAACCAAGAATACTTTATCCAGCAAGGCTCTCATTAAGAATGGAGGGAGAGATAAAGAGCTTCCAAGACAGGCAGGAACTGAAAGAATATGTGACCTCCAAACCAGCTCTGCAAGAAATTTTAAGGGGGACTCTCAAAATTCCCCTTTAAGAAGAAGCCCAATGAAACAATCCACAAAAACAGGGACTGAATAGATATCATGATGACACTAAACTCATATCTTTCAATAGTAACTCTGAACGTGAATGGGCTTAATGACCCCATCAAAAGGCACCGGGTTTCAGACTGGATAAAAAAGCAAGACCCATCTATTTGCTGTCTACAAGAGACTCATTTGAGACAGAAGGACACCTACAGCCTGAAAATAAAAGGTTGGAGAACCATTTACCATTCGAATGGTCCTCAAAAGAAAGCAGGGGTAGCCA